AAGCCATTTTTTTTTCGGCTTTTCTCGGGTGAACTTGATATATTCTGACTGTGCGTTTAGCAATTCGAAACATTTGTCCATTTCCTCTTGTGTTGAGCAATGGATAAAGCAGTCGTCTACATACCTACAGTAGAGTAGCGGCCTAAGATCGGTCACCGGTGCTTCCACCTTAGACATAAATGCAATGGCAAGGCTTGGAGCCAGTCGTTGTCCCATTGCCAACCCTCTTATTTGAGCGTAGTACTTCCCGGGCCATCTGAAGATTGAGCAGCACAAGCATTATTTTAAGAGTGCCATCAACTGCTCTATCTTAAAGTCATACATGTTTATTTCTCTTTCGTGTTGTAGAAGGAGTTCGAATATGGGTTGCATTGCGGAGTCATTCGACACGTTTGTCTAAAGCACGGTAACGTCGAAGGACTCTATCACGCACGCGCTGTTGGGCTGCGCAGTACGTAGACGATCCAGAAACATCTAGGTATTCTTAAGATAGGCTGGAATGTGTTTCAACAACAGGTTGAATATTAGGGTTAAAAACCATGTTGTCCTATCCGTTGGCCCGTCTACACAGCTAATGATAGGTCTAACGTTAAACAATGATGGATTGATAGACGCAAGATCATCGCTGGATAGTAACTTATGAGTCTTCATGAGCAAATACAAGACGGGACATGTTGGTAAGCTAACTTTTAGTAGAGAGACAACTGATGGTTTTAAACCAGCAGTCCTAGCCATTGTGGCCTATTCGTGGTTCAATTTTCGGTATTTACTTTTAAACTCCTTCTCAGATGATGGGCGATAGAGTAAAGCATCTTCAAGCTGTTCCTTCGTTATCTTAACATCTACTTGATAGGGAATTACAACAAACTCTCCACCCTTACCACCATAAGTGGTGATGTTGGGTCTATACCAGCTTTTTCTCTAACTATGCCAACAATGCCATCATGGAAAGCTCATGCAGTGGCATTCTCAAAATGATGAATACCTTCTTTGATTATTAGGCAAACACGAGGTTGATAAAAAGATACATTATTCGACTAACGCCTCGACAGGACGCATATGGAGCAGTGGTTGGAGGCGTTACTGCGGCACACACATGGAANGGTGGATAGCACCACTGGCTCGTTAGATCGATAGGCCACTGCGAGTCATTGTAAAGGCCAGATATGCATTCAATCACCTCCAACGATACTTAATGAAGTCGAATGCATGGCGCATCCCTCAGGGATTGCTTAACGCCGAGAGCTTTGTCCTTTTTTATTAACTTCTCAACATCTTTGTCTTTTTCAGTGCAGGACTAATCCGAATTGATGATCCACAAGTAGTCATCTCTGTGATGTGGCTGCTCGCTATCGCATCGACTAGAATCCATTGAAGTGTAACACCGATCGAATTAAGTCTATCACTATCCCGAAATCTATCAATCATTTTATAATAAACTATCTACAAAGATCAAAACAAAAAACCAGCGCTGCCAGCTATTTAAGTAATAGCTCTAAGATACAATGCGCACCAAAATCATCGAAAGCTGCTGTGTTAGGAGGCACAGTGCTTTTGAAAAGTGCGCGGTCTGTGTTAAAGTTGGGTCCGACTTCTTCGCCGGTTGAACCCATTTCTAAAACAATCCTACGCAAGACCACATACAGACTACATTAATTTCAAGATGAACTACGTTGTAAGGCCAGGCTAGAAAGGTTATGTAGCGAAGGACAGAGAAAGCCATTACCACCAATACCTCTCCCTGAGCTTTCTTCAACCATGCACAACCAAATAGCTAAATTAGCCTTGCCTTTCGCTTATTCACCGATGGAGTTTTTCAAATACTTAATCACTATCAAGGTAAAAAATTAAGCTCATCTTATACATAAGCAAAGACGTCACAAGAGCCAAGTTAGGGTGATCACAAATTCAAAGCACTTTCGTATGACTATTAGTGACAAAGGTCGGAAAATTGCAGTCATTTCTGGTCAGTTTGGTTTTACAATAGTAGAAAAACATCTCTACGATGTTCTTCTCTATCGATTGCCCTCTGAAAAGAAGTATAGAAATCAATACCAAAAATGGAATACGAAGTTGATAAACACGACTAAAGCGACGGGTTTAAAACCTTCAGTTGTCTCTCAGCTAGTAAAGAGTCAACCAACCTATCCTATCCAATACTTACTTACTTACTTGGATACTTTGACAGTCCGTCTTCACGAGCTGTGAGGACCCCAGAACATATGCCATGGTGGTGGTCTTGTTCGAGCATGGTAGCGCTTGCGAGTCTCATACCATGATCTGTGAAACAAATGCACCTGCGGGTAAAGTTGATTAACTTTGTTTACGAACACGTCCGCCCAACATGTAGGTGGTCGTCCGAAGGAACGTTTGCATTCTCATGGAGTCCACTCTACCGTACTTTTCGTCCATCTGTCGTCTGTTCTTCTCATTATGTGACTGGCAGATCTATGTTTCGCTGTCGATGTATATTCTCCTGGATCTCGAAGATGTGAAAAATTTCGAAGGTCAGAGCTACGCATTCAGGCTAGATATTGAGAATGCCGGTTATATTTCAGAAGACGTCGATCAAGCGCTCTGCGAGTACTTCGAACTATTCTTGACGTAGTTGAAGTACCAACCCACGTTTTTGCAGCATAACAGAGCGCTGTGAGTACCGTAGAATCAAAGAGATGAGCACGGATTTTCGGGTCCTTCAGTTGGTCGGTGGCTTCTTTGAGAGACCCGAATGCGGACCAAGCTGCTCTCCTTCTATCTAGTTCCTTCTTCATGTTGTTTTCCGTGTTCATTGATCGCCCCAGGTATGCGTAGAAAGTGGTGTCTGCAATGAGAGAGCCATCCAAACCAATTTTTTCGCCTTCGCACCATGGGTTTTCAAGAACTGGGTCATCTTGCGATTTATGCAAAGTCCAATCTTTTTTCCCGCTTTGTTGATCTCGTTGATCAACACCTCTCTTTCGCTAGTACTTCTTGAGAAGATGGCAATGTCGTCGGCAATACGAAAGTTTGATAGGAGTTTCCCATCAATACGTATGCCTTTCTCCTCCCAATCGAGTGACTTCATTATCCACTGCATTGCGGTAATGAACAGCCTTGGCGATATTGTGTCTCCTGTCGAACCTCTTTTCCTACGGGTATTGTAAGAGCCCGATGGAAAAGCTGCATTTTCGTAGTGCAGTTCTGATAACAGTCGGATTCTTATATAGGACCGGTCCTCTCCTTGGTCAACGAGCGGTGATGGGATTGTATTCGTTTCGACACTGTCAAACGCTTTCTCACAGCCAACAAAGGTTAAGACTAAAGGCAAGTGGTATTTCCGACAAACTTTGACGACCCAGGACATGGTTTGGACGTAGTCCATGCAGCAAAATCCTTTTCGAAATCCTGTTTGGTAGACTAGTTGCGCTTCATCCAATGTCCTTGATATGAGCGAAAGGATAATTTTCATGAAGAGCTTGTAGAGTACAATTAACAAGCGTATGGGATGATAGTTACGAAAACCCCTGCGGTCTCCTTTTTTGGGCAGGATGACCGCGCACGACGTCCTCCACTGGTCTCGGATTTCTTCCTTTTGAAGGTAGCCTGTCATATGATTAACGAAAAGTACATGTAAATTGTGGCCTATAGCCCTAAGGAAATCGGGAGTGATATTATCGGGCCCTGGAGCTGTGCTTCTTTCCATGCTTTCCGTCGCAACTAGAACACCCGACAGAAGAATTCCAGGTGGTCTTTCTCCAGTGGGGATACTAGGGCCTGAGACAGAGATTGTGAAACGGAAAAGGTTGGTGTAGAACGTTTCCACTATAAATTCTATATCATGGCGGAATGTTTTAACGATTCCATCTTCTATAATGCTGAAATGTTTTTAAATCTCCGGCACGCGAGTTTTTGAGTTGTGGAACGAACGGGTTATTGTCCTTGCCGGGGAGTAACGCGTTCACCACCACACCATGCGGGTCCTTCGTTGCCCTTAAAAAGAATAGGCAGCAAATAAAAAGGTTAAGATCTTATCTTCGCTTTTCAGGGCTGACAGCGAGACATTATAATCACACAAGTCGCCACGGCTTTTTTCCAGAGTGCTCCGTTTGCTCTGCTGCTTCCAGTATTTTCTTTTGCATGTACTGTTGTAGATCTTCCTGTAAAGCTCTTGTGCAGTTGGCATTTATTACTAGCGATGTTAAACGCGTTGCAGCAGGATCAAGCTTCAGTTGCCTTCTCTTTTCAAGCAACTCCTTAGTATTGATGGAGAGGCGATCCGATATTCTTGCTGGAGGAACTGAGGCGAATTCGGAACAGCTTTTCAGTCTTTCTGCCAGCAGCTCGTAGTCTTCGGTTAGGTCTTCTTTAATCTGCCAGTCACGTTTGGACAGCAAATCGTTTAGAACGTTTACGTCGTATACACCTATACTTTTTCCTCGTGGTCGATGAAGAGGGTTCTTTTCCAGCTTGCGGTTGAATCGAATCTTCGCGCGATGAAGGCAATGATCGGAACCAGTACAGAAAGACGGGACTACCGAAGTATCAAGTAGGTACCATCTTCTGTTTGTCAGATTATTGTTGAAGGCCGCATGAGTCTAGCCGTTAGGAAACTCCCATGTCCAGCAACGGCTTTCCTTCTTCTGGAAAACGAGTTTCCATGGAAGAAACGTGCTGCTGACAGGAGTCCTGCGAGACGGTTCCCATTCTCATTTCTTCCTCTTAATCCAAAATTTCCGATTCAGTATTCGCTCTCGTTGGCCTTTTTTATTTTGGCCTTGAAGTCTCCAACAAAAAATTTATGATATGCTTTATCATTGCGGAAGACTTCCACCAACTGATGGCAGAACGCATTTAATTCGTACTCATCAGCTGCATCGGCCGGTGAGTAGCAGTTAATGATAGCGATCTTCCTACAACGCGACAGTTGAAGACGGAGGATGGCTATGCGAGGGCTAAGGATCACGTATGAGTGGACGAGATGGACAGTGGACAGGTGGACCACAAAGGCTACGCCAACGACATTTCGTGACAGAACCTTTTCTCTGCGGATCACAAAGATCTCTTTGTTTATATCTTTCTACTTCTGTTCAGCAAACACGAGGTGCTATTTTATTTCTTTATTTACGCGCAAGCTGACATTTCGGCGGATTTCGCCTTCCTCAGAGCCTAGAAGGGTCAACTTGACAGCAATCCATTCGGCCAAACACCTCCATAACCAAACAGAGTAAACGCTAAGCCAAGATTTCAATCACATTTAGCATAGCTCTGCACACTCACCGCTTTCTATGAGTCTTCTACTGAGTATGTCGCGTGAAGACCGACCGCACCAAATTCACATGGAAGCGTAATGTGCTCCTCCCATCAGAATAACAGGTTTATATACTGTCCAATATCGGGCGTGATAACGAGGCATTTCTCCTTGCGGTTCATTTTCGGATTCTTGGAATTTATCCAGAATGCCTCTAGAGTTTTGCGCTCTTGTGTTCTCGATTCTTGCGCGAGGATCGTAACCCTTACTTCAAAATCTTCTCCGTTATGTTTCTGCGTGCTATGCGTACCTAGTGGAGTACTTAGCTTACGTTTGCTGACTAGGTGTTCTTTTATACGTACGCAAGGTGGTCTACCCGTTTCGCCAACGTATTCGTTCCCGCACGCTTTACAAGAGATCAAATAGACTGCACCTGAACTCATGCAGTCACCGTCTCTACCATTGAGACAAATTATGCAATTTTGCGTTGCACATAGACGGTCCTATAGGCGGTTACGAACTAGCTGGCGCCTTAGATTACTCGGTGGTATTTCGATTATCGTTACCGAATTTACTATTTACTATTTCGAACCACATACTGAAAAGCAGAAACATATTTCATCCTGTGATGCGTTAGATGTTCTCTTTGTTTAGTTGGAATATGTCGATCTTCTTGATTTTTTCTCTTGTAATGCGATCACATAAAATTTAATGCGATCTTCGGCTACAAGGTTCTGGCAGTATACGTGCATAGTAAAAAACAATCTCCATGGCGTGTCGTGTGTGTGTTCGTCAGATCAGGTTGATGTTACTTTACTTTATATCAAATGTGTCGAATGACTCCGCAATGCAAGCCACTCTTGGGCTACTCGTAGAGCATGAAAAGAAAATAAATATATTTGGCTTGTCGGTTCAACCATTAATGACTTTCTTAAAACAGTGTCTTATTTGTTCAATCTTTAGGTGGGCGAAAAGACATTTTGTACAAATTTGAGGGTTGGCCACAGAATGATGATTGGGACCAAGCCTTGCCACCGCTTTTATGTTTAAGGTGGAAGCTCCAGTTCTCGATCCCCGACCCTGGCTCTACACATCCATTGATGAATGCTTCATCTTCTGTTTCACACAAGAACAGATGGATGAGTACATTAAATTGTGAAACCAACAGTCAGAGTATATAAAATTTACACGAAAAAAACCAAATAAAAGTTGGCTTCCATTCTTAAACATCCAAATAAAGCTTTCATAAAGTGGCTACAAAACGAAATGGTATCGAAGACCAAATAGTAAAAATATGACAGTGCACTAGCTTTCTTTTCATTCTTCACATATAAAAAAAACGCTCATTAAAAACATGTTCTGCACGGCAAAAATATATTCACAAAAAAGAAGAAATTGCTAAACTTAGAATAAAAAGTTGCCATTTCCCTATGCCGTAAAGCATCGTCCCCATCTTAAATAAGATCGCTTTCAAACTGTCGTTCGTATTAAATGAAGTAAGTCATGACATTAAGATGTGCCAAAATAAGTGATCTTAAAACTTTTGTGGCAGTTACTGGCCAGCCATCAAATGCCTTAAGCCGTCACTTATCAGGCAACAGACTCTGTGATCGTTGGTGTAGCACTGAAATTTGTGCAATATGTCGTAACGGCAGGGAGACGTATTATGTAAATTCAGGTGCAATATATGCATAATCTATTTTAAAAGATGCGGTGTAGAACACATTGGATAAAAACACTTTGGTTCCGCTTAAACAAAATCATCATGGGAAACATGAAATTTAAAGGACTTCTCTTTGTACACACAGGGCACAAAAGCACAATGGTGATTATTTTGAACTGTCAGGATGCTAGCTCAGGAATCAAAAACATCAAAGCGCTATACTCTCGATGCGTTTTGAATGCCCTTCAAAAGTCACAGGATGGACCTGATGGACAAATATCTCACTATCACACGTGACCTGGTGCCTTGTTTCAAACTGATTTCTTGCTCTGGGTGGGTCTCAATCGTCATCCCACATGAACCACATATTTGTGGTGCCACCCGCAACAATTCGATGAGTAGTTTTTGAACAAAAATGGCGACCATTCGTATATTAGATCTCTTCTAGATCATAGTACCGCAGATATTTTACCGAATTATAAGGGTATATTTACATGCATAATAAAACATACACCTCAGGGCGCGTCTGGCGCAATGGTCGGAGAGGACACCGCGACACACACGTGGAATCGAACCCCGCGCCCATAGCCCACCAAGCCTTCCATTCCTCCGGGGTAGGAAAATTAGTACCAGACTTGTCTGGGAGGATAGCAGCACTGGCTCGATACATCGGTAGGCGACCACGAGTCATTTAAATGGCCAGATATGCATTCAATCACCTCCAACGATATTTAGTGAATTCGAATACATGGCGCATCCCTCAGAAATTGATCAACGCCGAGAACTTTATTTTTTTGTTCTTTTAACATGACACAACGTTACATAAAATACGTCCAGGCTTTGAGGAACTCGAAGTAGCTGAAACGTCAGCCATCAGACCGCAGTAACAACAACAACAACAACAACAACAACAACAACAACAACAACAACAACAACAACAACAACAACAACAACAACAACAACAACAACAACAACAACAACGACAACAACGGCTGATACCTACCTCACGCCAGATAAACAAGGAAAATTAGTAAGAATATCTATTCATATATTAACTATTTATTGCGAAATTTGTTGAACGTCAGTCTTTTGAGTTACGAACCCATTATTAATTGTCGTGAAAGATTGAGGCCCCTGTGGACAATACTATATTCGCCATGTTTGACCGTTTTCGCCTAATTCACCATTACCACCTCTACATTCTTTTTTGACCTCATCCTCTGCCTATCTGCAGACTGAATTTTAAGCTGGTATAAAATGATATTGATAACGATGACGTGAGAATAGTAAGAAGGAAATGCCGATGGAATAAAAGGAGTACGACAATGTGCACGCAAGAGGGAAAGCGGGGCCTCACTCATTCGTCCTATACAGTAGCTATAACTAAGGTATTAAATGTCTGGAACAGAAAAAATTTAAAAAACGGTGTATAGGGCGTAATCTATTGGACGAACTAATATTCATTTACGGAGATCCTCTTCTCTTTTTTTCAACTCATCATCGCCACTTCATATCTTGTCCGCTTATTGATTTCCTTAAGACCGTTTGACAAAGACAACGAGATTCCTTGAAATGATGCAGAATCCATCTTGCGCGGAAATGATTCACAGAAACATTACTTTGGTTAGTATTAATGTGGTTAGAGTTGACGTTTTTTTAATCGGCAATAGCTGAATATTTTATACAAATATTAAAAAATGCGAATAAGGAGGCAAAGCATGAAAGATACACAGAAAAGCCAAACTATGAAGCTGCGCAAAAAAATTGGGACCAAGCAATATAGAAGGCTCGGAGCTTCTAAGGATCTCTTCGCAGTCGTCGCTTCCAAAATTGAGGTTTGAGATTTCTTTCGGACTGAGGAAAATGGCAGCGGTTGCTTATAGTGCTTTTCGAATCCAATGCTCTTTTTCAGCTAGCCAGGCTTTGCTCGAAACATTTTTAGTTTGCGTTTTATCTCTCGTGAGATAATGATTTAACGAAATTGCTAATAGTTTAAACAAAACATAATTTTGCTCTACCTCGAGCATACAACAAAGTTATGCTAAAGAATCTCAATGTTTCTGAAGATGGAAAGAGTTAGAATCTGCTGACGACACCGTATTTGCTCTTAAACATATCACCAGAACTAAGATTCTGTGGCAACTTCAGTGGAATTATGCGCTTATAGAAGTGGATCCATAAGAAGGCACAAAAGCCAGCGAACACTATTTCCATGCCCCATGCTGGTCGAGGACCGAATTCGGTGAACAAATGCCTGAAAATGCACTGTTTTCATTTTTGGTTTGACACTAATAACGTTGCTTCACATTTTATAGGTGTTCAAATAGACTACGCTCTAAGAACTATTTACTGCCCATTCTTTTTCATGGCAAGGTATTATGCGATAAAGTACTAAAAAGAACCACAGGTGAGCTTCGAACTCACGATTATTGTTTACAAGGGTTGAGATATTATCCACTTCATCAACCGAAGCTTCCCCGTGGCTGTATTTCGCATAGTACCCTCACATAAAAACGAAGGTAGCAAATAAAATTTAAAATATGTATATATGCGTTTGTATATATGTTTTTACGAACTGCCTCAATTGATGCGTCGCCTTCTTTTTCAGGAGAAAGAAAGTGATGTATTTATAATCCAATGCCGAGGTTAATAGGAAGTCGATCCTAGAAACTGCCTTTGGCCTTTGTTGAGTTCATATGAGGTTGGTATATGTTTGTAGTTATTGTTGTTGTTGTTATTGCTGTCGTTCGATGGCTGACGTTTCGGTGACTTCGTCTTCTTCAGAACCAGGAGCTACTAAATGTAACAACAGTCCTATGATTCGGTAAAAAAAAAACCATGTGAACCGAGAGGAGCACTTTGACGAATTTTAAGTTTCCCATAATGACATTCTTCTATGCGAACATAAAGTGGTTTATCGTTTTCCTAAAGTATTTTTCACCGCAGGCCTTACATGAGATTATAGGTGTATACCTGAACTCATGCAATCCTCGTCTATCCCATTGGGATAGATTACACATTTTCCTGAGCTGCACGAAAATCGCCTCTATGATCGTTTGCGTAGCTCAGGAAATTGTGTAATCTGTTGTAACGGGATAGACGGGGATAGTATTCGTTGAGGTACAATATACTTGATTTCATCTAGGGCATAAGGTGAAGGATACATTTAGAAAATGGGTAGACCATTTTGTGCTCGCTTAAAAGAACATTTAAACGCGAAAGTAAGAAATAGACACAGTTCTCCTCTAGGTACACATAAGGCACAAAAGCACAATGTGATGATTTTGAAGTGACTGTGCAGATCTTAGCGCAGGAATAAAAGAACAAGGAGCAAGACTCTCGAAGCTTTTTGGAAGAGTTTCAGAAGTCCCAAGATGAACCGAAAACCAAGTGCCTCACTATTGCACTTGACCTGGAGCCTTATTTCAAATTGATTTTCTGACCTGGGTAGGTCTGACTCGTCATCTCACGTGAACAACACACGGTTGGTCTCATTTGCAACAGCATAGGAGTAGTTTTTTTTAACAAGTTAACGTTTATTTATACGCTAGATTTTTATTAATAATATGGATTCTTCATTGGATTATGAGGCTATTATCACATATAATACGTCCAAGCTATGAAGAAGAAGTCGCTGAAACGTCGGCTATCAAACAGCGGCAACAGCAACAACTTCTGCCAACCTCACATCAGCTCGGTAGGGTGTTTATGAGAACGGATACATAGATGTATCGATTATTTATGAGGAAGTTTATAGAAAGGTTTGTGAGTTATCAGAAGTTAAAAAAATGCAATTTTGATTTCAGCTTCAATAACTAGGTTCAATGCCGATTCGTGTTATCCATATCATTCCCGCTCATGGGTGTTTAATTATAGCACCGATAGAGCAAAAAACATGGCCGAAAGAAAGCAAAAACAAGGGTATAGGTTTTTGCACTGGATAACACATAGAGACGTGACGAGCAAGTCACGGGATCAAAGCATACCTGAGGCTCAGAGTTTTGCTCATATCTCATCAAACATGTATTGTATTTCGAACTTTACCATTTAGCGAGTGTTGGTCCATATAATGTTTTCCAATAAAAGAGGTTTAAAACCTTTATTTAGAAACCTAGACAAAAGTTAACGTCTATCACAGCAATGTCTGCCTATCTTATAGCCTATGATGTTCCCACCATAAAAGGAAATGAAAAAATAATCAGATGGCAAACATATGAGGCTGTCCGTATCAAACGAGTGTTATTGTGGCAGTTTTAAAAAAACAGAACTGATTGGAACCAACACTGATATCCAGCTAAGTCTCAAGATGATTTGAAGAGTTAAAATTGGACCGCGTTGCTTGCTTGGTTTAATAAGTTTTTAAATACAAGGACTCACGCCACGAAAATTGGTCCACACATCCTTGCCAAACTGCCAGTGACAATAAGCAAACCTTGCATTGTACCCTAAAGTAATTGTTTTTAGTCAATTGAGAAGTCTTCTTCCTCCCCCTCAACAATCAGCCTATGAGTACCTTCATAGAATCTGCTTGTAGCAGAATACCGGGTAATTTGATCAATGTTGAAGGAAGGAGATGAATCAGAGGCTTGTAGAGTTTATTTTATTTTTCAAACCCAGCTAATTAATTAAGTTGCTCAATCTTCTCAGAAACTTTCCAATCGATTTTTCAATCATAGTTTAAATAAATCTACCAGTTCTTAACCTGATTTCGTGGTCCAAGCAGGGTTGAAAAAGTGGTATTCATGCTAACGGTAATGACAGAATATGAGGTTCCGACGATAAATATATATGTAACGACGAACAATATGGGATTCATCTGAGGCGTTGTTTTGCACCTGAATTTCGGATTCCTTGAGAAACCTTCACTGTTATTTCCTGCGACATGACGAAATTAATCACTAATAAAAAAAAGAACGACTTTGACGCTGTACCATTCGAATGATAACCTGCATCCGACTGGGTCAGGGTTTCGAATCAGCGTGCCGTTTACGTTTATGACTGAAATGGTAAAAGAGTATTTACTTTGAAAATAAAACCTTAAGTGCTTGATCAACTTTGTTAGAAGGTAAGCCTGTTGCAAGATCGTCATCCATTGTTAATTGAATTTTATTGTTTTTATGTAGTTGAGCAGACACGTTTGCTTGAGATCTATCGTTATTCGAAATTAACGACTCATATTCTTTCTGGTTTGGGATAGATCCAGGCAGAAACCACCACGGAAACGTTACTAGATGAAATGCCACCAATCCTAACATTCCAGCACAGGTACTGACTCGACGATCTATTCTAAAGCTTGTTGTTAAAGTTTGGCGACAAAAAAGTTTGTCAATTCTGTGTACGTAACTTACATCTTTCCAAAATCGTAGAGGACACTGGTTCCATATATGACAAAGCCGATGAAACCGAAACCTCCGTGCATCAATGAGTTATATTGCACCGTTTGCTGCTTGTTCCACCCAAATATTGTCATTGATATTGGAGCTCCCAGCCTTTAATCTTCTTTTTTTTTTTCAAAATCATGCTCTGGTCGAAGATGGAGAAAAGACATTTGTAGAATATAGAATATAAAACTCTTTAGTCGAGATGCTGCTTCCAGCTTTGCCAGTTGGGAGAAGGTCGGCTAAACTATGGCTAACAACTACTATGCACTTATCGCATTTATGCTGAAATGGAAGTGAGCCAATGTTTTCTGATTTCATCGTTGTTTTCGTTGGACATAGCTTATGGGATGAGCGTAATGAAGATAATGTTCGTTAGAACTCGATGAGAGCTCAATATTACATACATCGATCAAGGAACAACGATGGGCCACGATAAGGCAATGACCAATGGAAGGAATCTTTAAATCTGCCATGTTTGTACAAGTGTGATCTGGTGATCAGTTCTACTAAATGTTGGCGCCGGTGAACGAAAATACGGTCACATTATTAGTTTCCAGGTAGTCCCCAATTGATCAGAGGTGTTTTGTCAAGACGACATCCAGGATGAAACCGGAACACCCGCCAGCGCACACACAACTTTAAGTACGAATACAATAATGAGCACTTAGAAAGGCAAAAGTGCATTCGATGACCAATACAACTAGCTCAGATTTTAAATCTGAATTCACTTGCATTTCAGTGCAAATCAAACATGTCTTCTGGTCTACATTTACCCTTTGTTAGCCATCTAAAGACGTGTAACGCATCCTTGCAAGTAGCGAACTTGTGTCTTCTCACGCAAGCAGTTCGTCTTTTTAAAATTCGAATACTTTAACTAACGTCTCGAGGTTTGCGATGACGAACATTTGTGCAAAGCGAGTGAAAATACATGTCATGACTGCCATTCTATCGTATTTAGGTAACGCGAAAAATCGTGCATGCTCTTCTGAAAACAGTCTGTGCATTATATACTGAAACTACATAATTTAAATAGTTATAACTCATGGATCACCTGTCCTACCGTTTTCTAGCGAGACTTTTCTTTGCAAGCCAGCGTTGGACTCATGGAAGAAGAATATGACGAGGAACGCACAAATTATGTTGACAATCAAACCCATAAAGGCTGGAGCTGAAAAAAGGGGTTTAAAATAGTCTCAACATATAGAATTAGCCGTTAATTCTTTTATAACAGAGTAATTAGAAAGTATTTGGCATGACTCTCCACACATACAGTTAAGCATAGACATGCTGGTACAGTGGTTGGTGATGCCATCGATCAGGAAGCACAGGTGTTAGTTCGATCTCCTCTCACTCTCTCTCCTCCAATTCACATAGGAACACCTTAGCCCGACATTCTCTAAGATTTCAAGGAGAATCAGCTCGACCACCCTTACACAATAACCGTTACTAAGCCGAAGTTCTTAAGTGGCCACGAGAAAACAGCGAGATGTTCGAAGACTACTGTGAAGGATGAATGCGACGAAAACGAGTCGAATACAAGAAGCGTTGGCACCCGCATAGTAGATGTGATAACGGGTCATGTAGAATAACATAAAAAGTAAGTAACAAAAAAATATATGGTTTTATAAAAATCGTGCATTATTTATATATTATGTATTGTAACTCAAAGCACTTCCTCCTATTTTCCAGTATTAAAAACTGAAGTTTTTAAAAAAGAACGGCCTACGAATTGTTTTCTGTGTCAACTAATTTAGTGACGTGATAACAAATCCTCCTCCGATCCATAGAAGAGCCAACAACAACCTGTGGCGACAATTTGGGAGTTTCAAGATCCCAAGGAGAGAAAATATTGCCTGATAAGAAATTCGCCCATCAAATGGAACCCGTGCCGGCGCCCGTTTGCACGATTATAAGCGTAGATGAGCCTTTCACATATCAAATACCAAATAAGTAATCGATGAAAACTGCATAACCTGTGTACATATCAAGATAAAGGTCTCCTATAAGCTTTATTCCAGGATATCCAAGTGGTACGAATGCGAGTTGTATAGCTGAACAAAGAAAATGAGATTTGCAACCCATAGCCAAAAAATACTGAGAATCTTTTATTTCTTCAGCTTACTTTATCCTAATCTCTTCAGCAGATGGTCAAAAAATTTACACCCCATCGTATCACTTACCTGGTCCAATAGTCAGTCTGAGAGAAAAGCTTCCTGAATTCAATGAAATCGATCGTGATCGATCCTTGACTGTGCTGGCATTTACTGCATACGTCCTAATTACTGTTATCACTCCTTAACGAATAAACCTAATTCTGCAAACATAAAGGCACCGCATCGACTTCATTTCATGTTCTTCTACATTTCTTGACACCCGTATTAGCTACATCTTATTCCATATTACCATCGAGATTATTTGAAACGTTTAGTTAATACACATTTTAGATGCTAAGTTTTGTTTTTTGCTGTAAATTCTCTTGAACTCATACTAGACACCAGACACACCTACCAGCACCCAAACCTGTGACAGCTCTTGAAACAAACATAGTCATTTTGGGTGAGTAATAACTGACACCACACGATAGGTAGATAAGGTTGCCCGAAAACATCACCACCAATCTGAAAAAGAGACTGGCAATATTTCATGCCAAAATACAAAGAGATCGCAAAATATGAGCTATGGAGTTCTCCGCTGTTAACGAAGCGAGGGCGCGTGTGGCACAGTGCTCGGAGGCGCCCTGCAACGCACACCTGGAATCGATCCCCACGCCTGCGGCTCAACAAGCCCTCCATCCCTCTGTGGTCGGCAAATTAGTGCCAAACTTGTCTGAAAGGATAAAAGCACTGGCTCGATACATCAGTAGGCCACCACGAGTTATTGTAAAGGCCAGACATGCATTCAATCACCTCCAACGATGCTTAATGAAGTCGAATGGACGGCGCATCCCTCATAGATTGATCAACGCCGAAAGCTTTGTCCTTTTTATTTTTAGCTTTTAAAAAAGCAATAATGGGAGGAAAATTTTTTTAGACGTACAAAAAAACAGTTGATAGTTGGATGGCACGCTTTTTCTGCAAACTCTGTGGACCTCGTGTCACATTTCCTGTTCTTCTATTATAGAGTTCTGTTTGTTAGACAGAAAAACCTTCTGGCCTTCAGGAATATACCTGTGGTACTTGATACTTAATACCTGAATGGACTGCACTCACTGGTTGTGCGGGTTCCAGCACAGTCACCGTTTTTCGGAGATTTCCTGGTTAAGCCATTGTGGTTTCCTGGAAACCCAACTCGAGCCTGGCCAAAGTCTGCCTCAGGTCTTCACCACCACAGGCTGTCGCAGCCCTTGTGGATAGGAGAAAGCATTACACCATGCGACTTGTTTGATACCAGGACGGGAGTGAATTCTGGTATGGGTTTACTCTTACCTAGGTCTTCTGATGAAAACGCTGGACTCCTAATCTGCTTGGGAGACCCTGCCAGGGAGATGAATCCACCCGTACATCGCAGCCAGGCACCCAGGAACACCTCCCATCCACGATGAAGCGGTAAACCGTTGGGACCATAAACGTATGAAACCGTTATCACTTCACTACAACACAAATCTACCTTTTCGAGGTGAAAAAAAAGTTTTAGTATTGTCTGGGGAAGTTTCCTTCAAGACAAATTCTATTCTTGGTACTGGCTCGTGACTTAACTGGACTTCTGGACACGATCTCCAGCTCATCTCAGACCGCATAACTCTATTGAAAAAATGATTTTGTTATTAACGTCGCATAAATTGACTTTCACTTAAGTTTGTGGGCTGCTTCAAAACTTAAATTGGTGGAGGTATTTATCATGATGAAATTTTAATGATTTCGCATTGCAACTACAATGATATGGCGCATCCCTCATAGATGTGTGCAAGACACGAATGCTCAGGTGACCACCCCCATACTGAGCTTCAGCCGGCCAGTTTTTTATTCTAGCGGTGCTACCAAATTCGATTAAATTTAGGTTGTGTTCAATGCCGATTTGTGCTCTCCAGATAATTCCTGTTAACTGGTGGTTGTTAGTGGCCCCGTTGCAGTAGAAACTGGATGAGGGAAAGACATGCCAAGGGCCTCGTTGGTGCAGTGGGTAACACGTGAGGCCCCGGAAAGGGTAATTTAGTATTTGAATCTACCGTGCGATCTGAATTTTGCAGACATCTCATCACCGTTATATTTGTATTTCACACAATAACCAGCCATGAAAAAATAATACGTGCTATACAAGAATTAAACATAATCGTTTTCGCATTAAGTTTAAAATCGAATGCTCAGTAAAACAAAAGTTCGCTGTTTTTACCCTCTCAGACAAATAAGAATTCGTTTACCGCGTCGACGCATCGGACGATTTGTTTATCGCAAGGTACCACTGCGTTACATGTAACTCGCAGTTTTTTCTCGGGCCATGATAAATTGAATGAAAAATCGGAGTATACACAAGAGTGTAGGTATTCATCTAATCAATATTCACCAACAATGCTTAAATGTTTAACGTTTGGAGGATAATGTTAAACTATACGGAACAGCATAGACAAAAAGATTGGCTAACCCGGCCAGTATTGGTGTGCGACATTGTTGCATTCGATTCTGACAATAACCGAACCCAATAGACATAACAGCTTGGGCCAGACTGTAGACGCCCGTGATCCACCCAAAAAACGATTCCGAGGCGTTTGGATCCAACTGAGCAATATATTATGGTGTTTTCCAAGCCGTCAACTGTACCAGAATCTCTATGTTTTACTATATCTAACAAAGAGTATAGAAATGTTCATAACAACTAACTTGAAAAAGATATGGCCATAGTGACGAGAAGTAAATAGTGAATTGTATAGCCGTAAAGAATGCAATAATGCTTGCAATAGTTAAAGATCGCCACTCTGTGACGACTTCGTTGCTTTGTGGACTGAAACAACTAACAATTCAAAGAGAATAGAGTTATCATTGGGCATATGTGTATAATTAAATAAAGAGTGACATAAATTGATTGGAATCGTCAGCAAGTCCTGTGATTGGTGTATTCCACAACAAAACAAGAACGATCCCTGCTATTCATTTTGTTCTAGGTTCATTGCTGGCTTTCCTAGTTCCTTACTCGCAGCGCTCTGCGTTCTTCAAAAAAGAAACCCGAATGTTCTACATTGTTTAGCATTACCATTGGTTATATTCTTATATAAACTCCATAATAATAGATAGAAAAGAGCAAGGGAGATAAGCCTATATGCTTCAGAGAGTTCTGAACTGGATGTTAAAAAATCACTCATTCATTGAGTTCTCAAAGGTCACTTCCGAAAAGAAAAAGGATCCATAGATGAAAGAGGTCTATTCGTGTGTTATAGCGTACTCCTTTAAATACTAGTTAACGTGAAAAGTAAAATATTCAAGTAATTCACCGATGTGCAGAGAAGTTGAGCTGCATGTTGTCAGTGAAACAGTGTGATCACAAGGTCAGTAATCCATTCCTTCTTTTGGGTTCGCATTTCCATTCATAAATTTGCTTAATCTTTTGCTGATTTCTCTCTGTCACTGTAGTGTTGCATAATTTTCAACTTAAGCCTCTCTTCGTCATTGTTCATCGACTATAAATCGGTTAACTCAGTACTACTACATTATTATCACGATCGTATCAAAACGGCTGATACAGGACAGACGACAAAACTACCACTGTAAAGTAGGTGTTTCGAATTATTTGCTCTAAGTTTTCATTCCTGAACTCCATTGGGCTAGAAAAGGAATACTGTCTAGTGATGTTTACTGACAACTTTTGGAAGTAGGATTTCAGTGCTTTCAGTTTTGCATAAAGTTCTGTATTTTTAATAGCAAGGTATTACGCGAAATACAACCAAATGGGTGCCGAGGCATGAGCAGGACTGGAAACCTCAGCTGGTATTCGAACCCATTATTACACTTTCCGGAACCTGACGTGCTATCCACAACACCAACCGAGACTGTCACATTGCCTTTTCTCGGCCATGTTTCTACTGAAACCTTGATTGGGCTCTGGCTTCAGCTTAACCATAGTGAATTTCGATTTGCTCTCTCAGCTCATTCTCGTTGGTGGGAGATCTATCTCAGTTCCAGGAACAAAGGATAAGATCCCTTTAACTTTTCCGTGATGCCATTATTCTGTGCTAGATTCGTTCACCGCCTTCTTTATGCGTAAATCCGTTTCGGCCATAAGCTGGAAAAAACTGTCATTGTCAAAAGAAGGAAAACTGGTCAATATTTTTCAAACCGACCATAATTAACCTCAGCATTAATAGTCCATGCCTTCTTGGAATATTAAACTAGCATTAGGTTGATAAAGTGGTCCATTCATCCGACGCTTTGACGTTTTCGTCTTGCTCACAGCTGCTGATCCGAATCGATGGTCCAATGACATTCCCCTACTCGATGTGGTGTCTTCGCTGTCGTATTTAGTCGAATCTTCTTCAGTGGACACACCATGTATGAGGCATGCTCACGCGGCTGTGCCCTTTTATAGAGGGCGGTTGATGTTGGAAATGATTGTCCGTTGACAATAATTCGTTAAAAAAAAACTTTGGAAACTAGTCATTTATAAGGACTTTGTTCTCAATAAAATCCTCTTCTCATGTGATTGGCTTATAGAAAAATGCCTCTGCGATAACTACAGGATTCATTTCGAGGGGCTTAAAACTTATTGGAACTCCTTAGTTCTTTAAAAAGAAAGTAAACCCCGTATCTATTACAACACTGTAAACACAAGACCATACATAGAAAATCTTACTGTAGTATCATCTGTAGTCCCGTTGATCGTTAATTGACTCGAGAGGGCGCCAGTAAATCTTCCATTTTTCCTCGTCGCTTGCAAAAGTAGCCCAGTGGGTTCTGCTCGCTCTAGGGACCCGTCGAGCATCATATCTTTCTTCAAGGCTCATTGCGAACAACTCTGACCAACAGGTCAGTGATCTTCTTGCAGTACGTTTGACTTCCCAAAGAATGCAGTCACTAACAGCTCTTATCCATCGGTTGTTATTCATACGCATTACGTGTCTGGCCCACCTTTTCATCGACTGTTTAGCGTACAGAACGGCGACGTCGATTTTTGATCGCTAGCGCAGATCGCAGCTTCGAGTGCTTTCCAATAGTTGCGTGAAACAGAGTACTCCTAGCATCGCCCTTTCGCCTGTGCATTCAACAACGGTGACTGATTTTTCATCCTGTTTACGCGGAAACCAGGTTTCTGACGCATATGTTAACGCAGAAAGTACCGTTGAGTCAAAAAGGTTGGCACGGTGTCGGGCGCTCTTTGTTCTCCTCACTTCATCCTCGATTCTCTTGAAGGCACCCCAAGCCGCTCCTTTCCACCTGCTCAACTCTGGAGCTAAGCCGTTCATCATATTGATTTCCCGACCTAGGTAGATGTAACTGGAGCAATCGGAGATACCCGTACTGTTGATCGTGAATGGTGCATACGAAACCAATCCGTTCCTCATGAACATCGTTTTTGTGAGAGTTAGTCGAAGACCAATTATTCCACAGGCCGACAAGCATTCGATCTGCTTGGCTAATGTTTGGTGTGATAAGGACGTTGTCATCAGCAAAGCGAAGATGGTGT